TGCAAGAATGAAATCGGCCTTATCCATATCTCTGTCTAAACACTGATGATAAGAAAAACTGAAAATTATTCTGGTGTTGCTTTCTCGTACACTTCCGAGGATCAGAAATCTACATCAATCTATTTCAAGTGCTCTCGTAGCAATCTCCCATGCCTTTTATCCCCTAAGCTTTCCCGGACCTCACTAAACACAGAGTTCTGTGTAAAAGCAGAAAATGCTGGCTTAGGTTCTGATCAATACATGTCCGTCCTACACTGAAATGAACTGTGAAACTGAATGTCCATATTGCTAAAATCCTAACGTACATCACTAGGGTAATTAAATTATAGTCTTCGATCTTTTCAATTACAACGAACCCAAAGAAAACCAATCGATTTCTTGTCGACACTACAAGAATAATGTAGGTCACAATGTTTCAAAATCAATTAAACATGTAAAACTACAGATAAGGTGTGGAGGACAGGATGACAGAAAGTAGGGCACACACGTGTGCTGTGTATTTAAGGACTTCCAACTTGTTCAAATAGTTTATCCTCAAACAAAATGTCACTTGAAAGCATAAAAAATCTTTGAACATTTTAGTTACAAAACAAACAAAATAAAAGGAAAATGTGAAATAAAAGGAAGACTAAAACTAATTACAATTAAAAAAATGGTCCAAAGGTTATCTAGGTCACGTGGCTCCATACCAATATTGCTCGTTATATATAGATTGTACTGATTAATGTTCATAATAATTCATATTCATAATTATGCAAATATCTTTACAGATTCAAAGGGAACTGCAAAGAACTGTTATCATCATTTGCATCAACACAAACATCTCATCAAATTCTTGGGCTATATTTTAATGTTCAAGAACACCAACCAAAGTAGAGGGTAGGATAAAGTCCCCTTGTGGCGCACTGATAATGTGCAATTCTAAAGTTGAAATATTGCTTAGAAAATTATGAGACATGTTCAAATGGTTGACAAATGGCCTTTTTTCCTTTCTAACACTTACAAGTTTTGTATTTCTGACATGATCAATGAGACAAATATGGTTAAAATGAGTGAAAAAGGCAGAGTTTTAGAACTTCAACGGAAAAATCTAAGAATGAGCAAGTCTGTGACCCAAGATGAATTCTTTACCATTTTTTTTTTGTGAACACACAGTATCATTGCTAGTCTGAGTGATGCATTCATGTCACCGCTATTTTGCCTTTTATGCCAATGGTATTCGTTTTGGAGCATAATTGAGACTGGGTATTCTCTTGTGTGTCTTGTGTATTTTGTAACATTTTTACGTAGATCTCCTATAAAAGTCAGCTAAGGTCAAACACTTGCTCATGTTCATATAACAGAAATATGCTTCATGAGAACATCTAACAGCAGCCTTTAAGACACATACACTTTATCCCTACCTAGCATGTTGTCCTTAGTCCCAAACATGTTGAAATTAGTTCTCATTCATGAACATATCTGGCAACTTTCATAACAACTGCTACAGTTGTGCTTGCTTCCTATATTATGTAGATCCTGCCATAAAGGGCTTCAGAACAGTTTTAATATATGACTGTCATTGTGCCACTGCATATCCTTAATAAGTTTCTGAAATATTGTTTTATTTATTTATTAATAAAAAAAGCAAAAAAATATTTTGATTTGCCATAACAAAACATCTATCTAAAGACGCATGGAAGAGTAAAGTCATGAACAGTCATAACAGTTATTTGTCAGTGAAGAGTTCAGTCCCTTTCAAAAGATGTATGATAACAACATCAGAAATATTGCAATACAGAATCCTAAATGAGCTTCCAGGTAATACCAATTTTATGAAACACGTGAATAGTTCTGATATCTGACTAGCAAAAGCATTTAGATAATGTTTTTTTTTAATTTCACTGTTGTTTGTGAATAGGCAGACATCTACACGACAGCTTACTCCAATTGAGTCTAATAGAATAATACTTCAAACATGTCAAAAGTTGATACTTATTAATTTAAACCATACAACGGTCCAACTATTTAATTCAGGCATCCGTTCCACAGAGCTATTGTAGTGCTAAAGTTATCGTAACTCCCATACTTTAGACCTTGCACAACGATGGCCTTGTGGAACGGGCACTACATTACAAATTTTTACAAGCACGTCACAATACTATTTCGGAATTTGTGGAATTTTGTTGCAAGATCCATTGGCGAAACAATGCCATGTGACATCAGCCGAGCAACAGGGTGGCTGGGGTCATTGAGTGTTCATAAGCTCCTCTCAGTGATCTATCATCCCAGGGATGCTGGGAGTTTTCAATATTTGTTCGTAAAATTGTTCCTGCAGTACATAAGCTCGCGCTTTGGTATTACACAATGTGTAATACAGCTGTGTGTTTATTAAACAGGTGATCTCTTCACGGATGAGAAACAAAAAGATTGATTATCAAACTGTCGAAATTATAAAGAGTGTTCGAGTGTAACATGTTCTTTATCATGCCAACAGAAATACAGCTGAGGATGCCACAGAGTCGGTACAACTCTCTCTTTGGTTTGAACGTCAAACTTCTACTTACTTACTTACTTATATTGGAGATTTAACGTCGCACACGGGCCCGGCCAGGCCATTTGATGTGTTTCCGAAAAGGGGTAAAGAGAATTTGTGCAACCCAGGAGGGGGGCTTAAGGGGTTACTTATATTGTAATTTTGAAATTTTGAGATTTGGAATGAATGCCAAGAGTGGGTGGAGGACGAACTAAGGGAGCTATGTGTGTTGGGTGGTTGTTAGATTAGGTAGTTTGGGTTTTAATATTTTCTTTGGGGTTTAAATGCGACTAATTAGTCCTGTTTTAATTAGGTATATGCCTAAGGCTTTAAATTTTTCTAATTTATTTTGTGGATTTAGGATTGATTCTAGTGTAAGTGCAGTTTAAAGATTTAGGGTGGTTTGTAGTTTAGTATTTTAGATATTAGATTTTTTTTTATGATTGTAGTATTTTTGCTTAGTTAGGCACAGTAATGTTGGCACAGCTGACTTTGCAATCCTACACATGATTCCATAGTGACAATAACTCCTAAAATCATTCAAAGTTTTACTTTGTTCAAAAACACTTAAGAAAATGCAAGTTGATTTGCAAACAGATGCAACGCTGTTATTGGTTAAATGAAGATGTCTTACCTGTCAGGTCTTGGTCACTGAGCAGGAGAAATATTGACTGTGTTGAATATTCTATATACATTAATTGGCATTATATTCTAAAGTACTATAGATCTTCTTTTGATATAAAGCAAAGGAATAACAAACTAGTGAGACATTAGTTGTCTAACAGGTCCACAGGACCTCAGGAACCACCCATCCCGAGTACCCGAGTTACCCGACCAAGCCCTGGTGTGTGTGTGTGTCTATCTGTGTGTGTGTGTGTGTGTGTGTGTGTGTGTCTATCTGTGTGTGTGTGTGTGTGTGTGTGTGTGTGTGTGTGTGTGTGTGTGTGTGTGTGTGTGTGTGTGTGTGTGTGTGTGTGTGTGTGTTCAAGTGTCTGTGTGATTCATAATCACATTCGTATAATTGCTGACAACAGCAACCAGTGACATAAATACTTCCTTTAGTTTCATAAATTGTATGGTTGAGTTTTGGAGACTGGTACTCCAGTCAATAGTTAAGGTAAACTATGTACCATATCTGCTGTGTTTAGCGCTCTTCTCCAATATGCGCCACTACCAACTTCTAGACGAATCTGTAAGTAATCTGTAGAAGTGCCCAATACTAGTGCTGGGACGAGTCCAAATTTACTACCAGGGTTGCCGTCCCTATTATCCACCCCTACCTGGGTACCCGCTGTAGGTCTCTGTGAGTTAAGAGATAGGTACAAACTGTCCGACTGGGAAAAGTTTAACCATAGCCGTGGCAAAATTGATTTAGATGTACACCTATACAACGATCTGGTCATGCATACACTGAAGTTTTCTGAAGTTTTATGCTTATTCAAACACATAAAAGTCAGAAGGAATGGTTGCATAGTCTGAAAGAAATGCAAACATTAGTGACTTGTAGTTGAACCATATGCATAGAGTTTGAGATAATTTTTTACATTAAACAATACATCACGTGACTAACCACGGGTTCGGGTAGTCCTGTGGGTTCCAGGGTCCTACTCTGTACCCACCCAACCCGAGTACCCGAGTTACCCATCACAGCCCTATACCCAATACAGTAAACTATGTTTATAACGAACACACTTAAAACAAACCGACGGATATAATAAAATGTTCTTTTCATCCCTGCCATTTGCTGTATGTATGCCGTATATGTTTATAACGAACTACAGTTATAATGAACTAAAATTAGTGGTCCCTTTGAGTCTGTTATAACGGTAATTTACAGTACTTTGCAAAACCAATTGCATAATACATGTAGTGGGTTTTTTTTCTTTTGTGTATAATAATAATAACAACAACAACAATAACAATAATAATCTGTTACGCCTCAAAGAAAATGACGGAATATAATGACTCAGGTTAACGGAAACAAAAAGGTAATACCGTATTCGACGTAATAAGCGCCCTGCTCTAATAAGCGCCAACGGCGATATTTGCTAATATTTTGGCTAGTGAACAATCCCCATTAGCACCCCTTCGGATTGATCAATGTACACAAGACTTATTTATTCGCGCACAATACGCACTCCTGTGTTATATCCACCCTTCATTATGGGCAATTAAATTCTGGAAAAATATATCTGCCGTACATAAACATTTCAGGCTGTCAGCATAAACCACGAAATTTATGTTTTTTCACCAAAATAGTAATAAAATAAGAGCCCCCTATTTCTAATTTTGAGAGCGCCCTGGGCGGTTATTACGTCGAATACGGTAGGTAACACGTTTATTTCGGGGCATACGGTAGGGCTCGGTATTAGCTGGTTGAACTGACTTTTCAGGAACATCTGTTATTTTCTCAAGATGGAAATTGGCAAGTGACAATTTAGATACATTAGACAAGATGTGTAATAGATTAAGTCATGGAACTTACATGCCCATTGACAGCTGTATCATGGAGACAGCGTGACAACATCCTGTTTACCGTGTTTATATACAATGGCTACACTATTATTTTCTGTAGGTGTGAAAATGCTAATGTCACGATATTATATCACTCCGACTATTATATTTCCAGGATCATATAAGAGTCAAGAATTAACACTATAATGAGTAAATCCATCAAAATTGTATATTGCAATCTTCTCCCCGCGCTAACAATGAACTTGTCCAAAACTTCGGAATATCACGCGTGACGTCTAACATGGCGTCGCCCTGGCGAACAGATTGTGGTGGACGTCTTGGAAGCTGATATCGTGTATGTGTGTTGACTAATATTTGAAAGGAGAAAAGAAGAATGTCTTCTTGAACTTATCAATATTTGCGATTTCGTGTCTTCCTTGTAATTTAAATGCATCTCGTATATAATCCAGTAGTAGGTAAATCATTAGTTCTCGTAACATTCCCCCAGTTTTCGCGCACACTTTGCTCATTTTAACATGGTTGTTCATCATGTTCATATGTAAGTTCGGCGACAACTGGGGTTACTTGATGCAGCTTATGTAGCGTTAATTGACTCAGGCTACCGACTTTGGCTCTCGCTTCACAGATCTTCACAGTAATCCAGGGCCAATTTTGGTGCATATTCATCTAAGCTGAATTTTGGGAATAGAAAAATGACTTTGAAATGTGGCGAAAATGTCCATTTTGGGGGGTAAGTTAATAACTTCTGACACATCTGACCTTCCAGGTACCGTTTCTAGTACAGTATCAACTTTGCCTGTTAGTATGGAAATGCAGAAGATTTCCCAAAGCTTGAAATGTCTTACCTACAACAACAAAATATGAAAAGAAACATAAGGAGTCTGTATTAAACTTTCTTTTGTCTTTCAACAGTTCTTCACAGTACTCCCAAGTCATTTTTCATGCTTTTCTCTTTTTGTGCTGCCTCTTCCAATGTGCAAATAGAATCTTCCAAAGCTTCAATTGACATTTCGATATATTCCTTTGAAGATTTCAGCTCTTGTTGGTTGCATTCAAATTCCTTCCCAATTTTCTTGACTTTTTAAGCATTTTTGGCAAGGCTGGTTTTAGTTTGAGCATGGGCACTCTTTTCTCTCCTGTTAAGGCTGAAATATTTTCCTCTCATATTTGGCTTAAGGGTTTCCAATTTCTGTCTCAATTTACAGCAAATTCATCAGTGGCTCTTTTTAATGTTCTTTTCAAATTGTAATCTTCCCTTTCTAGAGATATCATTTTTTCTTTCTTGTTTTGCATTTGTGGGTTTAACTTGCTTACTTCATCCTTCAGGCTATTAACTTCATGTCCAAGGCCTTGCAATGCCATAACCTGACCTCGTTCTCTCAGGAGTTTGTACTGGCACAATGAAATGCTCAGCTCTATATTTTTCCTTAACTTGTCCTTTCTTCTTTTTATCTTCTTGCTTTATTCGGTGAAACTTTCTCGTTAAGGCATTAAAATTAAGCTGCTGAAGGGGAACATTAAAACCTGTCCAACCCACGTAGCGAACATTTGACGGTTTCCGGGGGCAAATTTGTGAATTTCAAATACTAACCCATTTGTTTGAAATTTAGTTGGAACTACACTCACATCAAGCTGTGCTTTCATGCTGTCAATAAGTTGCAACTGTTCAAGTAATGGGAACATTTTCAACCTTCACTGCTTATTTTCCCAACTTTTTCTTTGCTTTTTCAATGCTACGTTCCTGGATCTTGATCTCAGCAATGAAAAGGAACCAGACCCACTACTACTACCTAATACTGCTGAATTGAACAAGTGATGCAATGTTTCTCTTGAAGAAATCTTTCGCTCACAAAGTTCACACTCAAAATGATCATGAAGCCACTGTGCAACCTTATTATTTTCTGGCAAACATTGAGCATAAGTTGATGTTACAGATCACAATCTCTCAATTTTCTGTTAGTATCAAGAAGATTATTCCAATCATCCAATTTGCCCCACCCCATCCCCCATGATTCAAATTGGTGTTCAATATTTCATACAAGTTCACTGTACTTTACATTAATTGAAACATACATTTAGTTATTTATTGTAACACATATATATGACATCATAATTGTTCCTCCTACCTACGTTAAAACTACGTTCTTTAATGATAATAAACATGTTTCAGTCACAAACACATGACATTGACAATGTGACAGTTACTTTAGTATTTTTACAACTTAGTTTAAACACATATCATAGTTTGTCAATGCAAAAAATACCCCAATGTCATAAATATAATCTCCAATACAACATTCTTACATTTACTGTCTCAAATTACGAGGATTGTTGCTGGATTGTTGAAAACAAATACTGTAGTGTTTGTGAAACATGTCCGAAGGGAAGTAACTGCGTAGTCATGTAAAAACTGCATACTGCTAATAGAAGTAGGGTGAGTTCCGATTTAATTATTTTTTTATATATTGTCCCTTATTAATTACATCTACAACACACTGAAAATTATAACAAATGATTGCAGAAGAGAATAAACCTATTTACAATCGTGTATTCGGCTGTATTGATAGTTTTAAGAATAACTGTTGACTTCATCAAAGTAACTCAACTTCGAAGAAAATTCTCAAAATAGCAGCTTATGAAATACGCATGCAACCCTTATCCTAGTTTGTGATGTACGCTGATTTTCCCGCTTTCTGTGTTAATCAATGAGTTTAGAGATGGGATTTTGAACCGACCCTCCAAGGTGTGGTAAACCAGCTTTGAGAATAATTGCAGGAAGAGTTACCTCCTCTTGCCATGAGCATTGCTACCTCTTCACCAGTTGCGTTAGGGCAGGTTACCCCCTACTATCCTTATCCCTTGGAACCCCTTTCTACTCATTAGTGTTAGGTACCCTTTTCATCAAACGCCCCTTCGCGATCATTAGGGTTGGACATCAATTGCCAGTCAAACCTCCCTTTACAATCCTTATACATTGTCAGGTTGTGAGGTAGGATATGTCGGTGGGTAAGGCTAGCTATATCTTTTGACAAATTAGTTAAATGTAATTTGAGGAAAAGTCCATGCAATTTTCACCAAGTTTTGAATTTTGCAGAGAAAATGCCTACTGTGCATACACTTAAAGGTAAACAATCAGGGGCGAATCCCTTGAGAAATGAGCACAAATTATATTTGACAGTGCCTGTGGTCTCGTAGTGAAGTGATGGCCAATTAAACTAACTTGCTAGCCTAGCTTAGCTGGCAACATGAGTTCAATCCTCCATGAGGTGCTAAGTGAAATCCGAAAAAGTGCACCTGGTAAAGTGCACAACTCCAGTAAGTTTCCTGAAATTCTGCCACCATTAATTTTCCATGGTTCTTGAAGGTTAAACAGTGCTTGCATTTGATACATTTGACTAATTTATTTACATGGAGTCTGGAGGCAGTGAACATTATAATACTAAGTTATAATATCATTTAAGAAATGTGCCATTGGTTCTAAGGTAAAACAGCACCACATCAAAAGGCACGGAAAATTACTCTCAAAAACAACAACAAATTGGTGGAAATGGCCCCAGCAGTATGGTATCAAAGTGGGTTAGCATTATATTTATCCAGACTAGCACAAGCACACACATACCACTCATGTGAAGATCTGGGCTAGAATTGGTCTTCAGCAGCCCATGCTTGTCGTGAAAGGCTACTAATGTGATTGGGTGGTCAGGCTCGCTGACTTAAATTTGGTTGAATGATGCGTGTCATCATATCCCAATTGCATTAATCAGTGCTCATAATCACTGGATTGTCTGGCCCAGTCTTGATTATTTACAGACCTCATATAGCTGGAATATTGCTGAGTGCATCATTAAATATCAAACAAACAAAATACACACACACACACACACACACACACACACACACACACACACACACACACACACACACCTGCATGCACGTCCACACATAAGTGCAATTATTTTGAGACTTTTAACCCCATTTTACTTCACCTCTCTAGTAGTTTTGACAGTTGTATTTACTTTCAATCAGTATTAAATGTAACTGGGTTAACTGACTATAAAAGTCCAGTTTCCACCCTTGACGAATTAGGCTGGAATTACGGAGTTATATTTTCGTGATTTTGGTTGGACTAATTTGTAAAAAGCTGTGCAGATATCCATCAATTGCAGGATTTGCAAAGCATGTCTACTGCCTATTAGCATTAGGCAACAACAAATATTTAAAAAATCTTTTCATGTTTTTAATCAAGGTGCTCACGTGATTTGATGCACATTGCGAAGGAGGACATGTTTTATTACAATATAGATCTTTATTATCAATCAGACCGTCTTCACTGGATGCCGCTATTTTGTTTGAAGCAGATGAGAAGTAGAATCTGATTAGTCAGTAGGAGGGACATAGAAGGGACGTAACTCGTAATAGCCACTGGTGGCACTACGATCCAGCCCAGAAATTCCTGCCAAGTTTGGCAAGGTTGGAAACTGGACTTTTAATGTCAGTTACCTCCCTTGCCTCTGAAGATGAATGCATCTTTGTTTGTTTGTTGTTTAAAGCCCCACTCAGCAATATTCCAGCTATAAATTGCTGTCTGTAAATAATCAGGTCACATTTATAACATCTTTTTTAAGTCTATGTACCACAGTTTCAGTTGCCAATAATTCCACACAACATTCAAGTCATTGGTCCTCTTTTTGTATGGGGGCACGGGTGGCCCAGTCGTCTAAGGCACCACGATTCGCTGTGCAGAGTTGCGTCCCTTGGGCACGCCAGAAACCTATGATTGTGGGTTCGAATCCCGATTCGCCCTGATTATGTTTCTAGGTTTGTCAGCACCATACCCATGCTCGTGGGTTTCACCGAAGTGGTAAACATCTGAGACCTGCATCACTTCGGGCTTTCCTCCCACATTAAGCTGACACGCCACGATATAACTGGAATACTGTTAAAAACTGCGTTAAACCCAACTCAGTCACTCACTCACTCTTTTTGTACATGTGCCACGTCAAACGTCTTTCAAATGCAAAAAATGTTACGATCAATATGTGCAGTGTCACTACGCAATAGCTATTTGAACTGAAATAATGTGAGCAAAGATACTTGACTATCTTTGCTTTGTGTGAACACACTGTTGTGTAAGCATATCGAGTACAGTGATGGAACTAAGGGACGTTATTGTAAATGACATTGACAATACATTTGATTGAACAGCAGACATTCAGCATTCAAGATATGTGTTCAAACCTGATACATCCTGGGTAAGTTTCACAAGACTGCTTATTTTTGGTTTATGTCAAAAGTCAAGTTACTGGTGAAAACACCACCATTACACCTGGAAACACACAAAACCAACATTGTTGAATCCTAGACTGCAGTATCCATCAGGATGTTTTTAGAGTTTTAGTATCAATCTCTGAAAAACTCATTTAACTTGTTATGTTTTGTTAGGAAGTGCCCCCTTTTTCCTAAGCACCCAGGATGCCTCTTGAAGCGTGTATGGTATGAGTAATGTGTCTGAATGTATACTGCAATATCTGTGAAAATAATTATTCTCCAACCCTATTTGAACCCAATTACTTTCAATTTCAGATGCAGCCTTACATCAGTGACGGAGACAAGCTGCGGCCAGGAAGAGTGAGGCAGATGTTCTAAGGGAGACAACTCTACATCTGGCCTCATGATTGGCCCCTTAGGCGAATGTCTGGTCCAAATCATGGCATGGCTCTGTCAGTTTCCTGGAAACTTCTGTCTGTACTTCAGATCTTATAGACTGTTCAGGACTATCCTTTTTGTGGGCTTGTTACTATGTTACTGTGAGTTCGTGCACTACTACGTGGTGTTGTTCCAGTGCACCTGGCCTCAGCTGAACAATGACATGTTTGACAGGACACTTCCTCCAAAGTTCCACCCTCTGCGAGTTATGGTGATAGCAGATACACACCTGCTGGGAAAACACGGACACTGGTTTGACAGGTTGAGAAGGTACACCAAGTTTTGTTTACTTTTCGCCTGAACAAAGTTGGTGTTCAGTTTGTGTTATGTGAGTGAGTTTTGCTTAAAACCACATCAGCAATATTACAGCTATTTCCTGCTCAGTTTGTGTTAAAATTATGCACTCAAATATGTCGATTGCATGAGGGGCCATGCATGTCATCTGGTCTGTCACTGTGAATAATTTACCCACTATTGCTTAGATATTGTCTTTTGAAATAAACAAGACCCTTTATATAAATAAATATGATATTATTGATAATAACAGTGAGCCAGACCTGGTAGACATTATTAACTCATCAGAAATCTCTTGAGCACCACTTGTAGCACACAATAATTTTGTTTGCTGTCATCAAGTTCCAGATGTTATTTGTCGTCAATGATGCCCCCCACCCCCCTACATTACACCGTGTTTGAACGGACAAGTGGCCATAATGACACTGTGGGAGGCTATAGCAAACTATAGCAAACCAATCTGATTCATCAATACTGAGTGATATAGTTATTTGTCATTGTTGGTAATCATTCAAGGATATGTGCTGACTCATGGATAAGATAATAGACGATAGATGAAGAATTTTCATTGGGGATTTACATACAAAAATAAACATTAGAAATGAGGTGTCATGTCTCAAGACGAATGGATGACTTGGGATTTCAAAATTATTTCTCATCCTGATACAACTTAGTGCAAATATCCTTCTGTCTGTGAACTTTCTAACAAATGAACCACCTCTCCTCAAGTGGCACTCTCCACAAGGTCACCGACTAAAGTTACCTCCCCTAGCCCTCACCTTTCCAAGCTGGCACTGTTACCATGTTTACTGATTAAACATTTCTTTTCAGAGAATGGCAGATGGAACGAGCATTTCAGACCAGTATGTTGATTCACAGTCCAGATGTGGTTTTTGTTCTAGGTAAACTTACCAGGATCAGATTGTTGTCTGTAGTTTCTTAGTGAGCATGGGCTCAGGCCATGCTCCGGGGCAGAATAAGTCCCCAGTACCCAAGCTTGTCATAAGAGCAAAATGTAATTCACGTTTTGTTTGTTGTAAAGTGTGTGTTTGCTGATTGTGAGTCATCATTCCTGGTGGGATGGCTAATTACCCCTGCTGTCAAGCACTGGCTGAGATTCAGTTGTTTGCAAACCGCCTTGATATGGCTGTTATACAGTTGAATGTGCCATATAACACTCAAACACACACATTTCCTATATTGCAAGTAAGGCAATTAATAATTTGGAAAGTTGGTTAACAGGATTTTTTTTGTTCTTACAATGTCGGTGAATGAAAAAAAATGTCTTAATGTCACACTTTTTTAATTTCCCGGGTGCATGTCCCTCAACTGCACTCATGAGGCACAATAATGTCACCGTTTCCCTGCCGAAATGACTGCGCAACCAGATGTGTCATATAGGACAGTAACTCGTATCGCTCTACATCACTTCAAATCTTTGTGAAATACACTTTGCTACATATTTTGCAATGAATATTCTAATAACTAATTTGTGTAGTATTTCATGTTAACTTATTTCATATTAATTTATTAACTGCTATTTTTTATATCGGTTGATCTATTAACCAACAAAATAAAAATTAATCGCCTAATCAAGCATTGACATAATCTTCCCTTTATTTTCACACACATTGCAGTGCTGTCATGATAAGATTACCTGTAACTCTGGGCCCCACATACTCCTCATGGCTGTAGGTCATCAGCATGTTCACACACAACACAGAGGTCCCACACACTGCTCATGGCTGTAGGTCATCAGCATGTTCACACACACACACACAGAGGTCCCACACACTGCTCATGGCTGTAGGTCATCAGCATGTTCACACACACACACACAGAGGTCCCACACACTGCTCATGGCTGTAGGTCATCAGCATGTTCACACACACACACACACAGAGGTCCCACACACTGCTCATGGCTGTAGGTCATCAGCATGTTCACACACACACACACACACAGAGGTCCCACACACTGCTCATGGCTGTAGGTCATCAGCATGTTCACACACACACACACAGAGGTCCCACACACTGCTCATGGCTGTAGGTCATCAGCATGTTCACACACACACACACAGAGGTCCCACACACTGCTCATGGCTGTAGGTCATCAGCATGTTCACACACACACACACACAGAGGTCCCACATACTCCTCATGGGTACTCGTCATGCTGAACAATCTAGAGAAACACTTGTTACTTCGGGTGCCAGCTTAGTTTTGTAAGTGGGGATATTATCAATTGTTTCTAACAGTTGTGACACTTCTGCGCCTGCTTACCAAGTCTCATTCCTTTCTCAGGTGACCTGCTGGATGAGGGAAAATGGTGTTCAGACTCACAGTTCCAAGACCATGTCAACAGGTTCCAGAAAATGTTTTCCACAAGCCAGAATACAGACATGTATTTTGTGGTTGGGAACCACGACATTGGATTTCATTATGCGTGAGTGGAGCTTATAGAAAACAGTTACATCAGTCATCACGACTGACTCATTTTAGACTTAAGTCATACTGATGACATGTATAAGAAAACATTGTGAAAATTGGATAGGTCAAGTTCTAGTTTCTAACACTGCATGGTGTTATTGTGATAGTTTCTGAAATTAATATACTGAACCAAATTAAAAACTTCACAATCCTAAAATTTTAACATTTTGACCAGTTATCATTGTGGGCCCTTATTGTGTATTTAAACAGTAATGGCCAGGTATTGTCTTCAGATAACATCCATTTTTGTGCAGGTGAATCGATGAAAATCATGTGCACAGCGTTATAGTGGCAAAAGTGTTTTTTCACGTGCAACTGGTCACGTGGCCATAATACTGCACGTGTTTTCAGCCATACTTGTTAGCAGTCATTAACAAAAAAAGAAAAACATGAGAAAACAAAAGGCATGCCTTTCAAATGTGCAACGTGAACGTGCCATCGGCATGTTGTAGATGGGAACGTCCGTAGCTGAAGTCGCAAGGACGATGGGTTGTAGTCGACGGACTGTTTATGATTTACAGACGTGTCTACAGCAAACGGGTACCACCGCTGATCGCCCTCGGCCAGGTCGACCACGTGTGACTTCACATGCAGAGGATCGTCGGATTGTCTTACGTCACCTCCGTAACCGATTTTTGATGGCTACATGAACCAGAAATGAACTGTTTAGGGGTAGACTGAGTGCACAAACTGTTCCAAACCGTCTGAGAACTGCTCACCTTCAAGCACGACGGCCATACTGCGGGCCGATTCTGACTCAATTACACAGTCGTCAACGTCAATTGTGGGCACAGCGACACTTACGATGGACTCAGAGGAATTGGAATCAAGTCGCCTTCAGTGATAAATCCTGATTTAATCTTCGATTTGCTGATGGTAGGGTGAGGGTGTGGAGGCGCCGTCATGAAAGTTACGCCCAGTGTTGTGTACAGGAAGTTGACAGATTTCAAGGCGGAAGTGTCATGGTGTGGGGTGCTTTCTGCGGCAATGCACGTTCCAGGCTTCTTGTCATCCGTGGCAATCTCAACGCTGCTGTTTACCGCGACCAGGTACTGGCACCAGAACTTCTGCCTTTTATGGCAGCACATGGACCCGGTTTGATCTTCCAACACAACAATGCCAGACCCCACACAGCAATTTTGACAAGGAATTTCCTTCAGAATGCGGGAGTCAACGTCATGGACTGGCCATCAAGGTCTCCCGACCTCAATCCCATCGAACACGTCTGGGATGCTCTTGGCAGAAGTCTGCGCACTCTCCAGAACCAACCACAGATTCTCTTTCAGATTAAATCCTCCTTGGGGCACCTATTGCATTTTCCTTGCTCAAGAAAATCTACATGATATAGTTGTAACCTTTTTCCTTAATAAAAAATGTTACCACACAAAAAACTTCGTTTTTGTATAAAATACGACCACCCAGGCCTCACCCTCCACAGCGTCTCACGCCAGGGGGAGTAACTCTCACCCAAATCACTTTCCTTATGTCATCTGTATGAGACAGACGTGCTGTTTTTCAACAAGACAAATAAGAGAAATCTAATCGTTCGACAAGAACCATGGCTGACCAAACTGTATGTATGGTACATTTCTTTCATTGCAAAGGCGTAATACCTCGCATTGTAAAGTTATAGAGTTGTAATTATACGCCACCTGCACGGTACATTTGAATTCAAATGGCCGTAATGGCGTCCATATTGTAGTTCCACGGTCTGATACATGTAACACCAAGGCCATTGGAAACGGCTTGGGGTTTGTTATATCATACAGCATTGGACTACAGTTTTTTCCTTTACATAAACCCAAGGTGGTGCGTTAATTTATAACTACACTTACCTTTTTTTTTTACGGGTTTTACACCTTAGCACGTAACACGCCCCTTTGGTGTTATAATTATACTACGACATTGGCTATTAGTATCGCGTTACAAATCGCATTCTACATTACGCCTTTGCTTCTGGTTTCACAATTTTGCATGTATCTTTCTGATCTTTATATCGCACTGATACACTTCAATTCCCTTCCTGCCCAACGCAGAAATTACGGTCTTGATGGGTCATGCCCGATATGCAAAGCGTTTACCCCCCCCCCCCCCCCCCCCCGGGCCCAAAAGATAAGACAAGTGGACTTGCTCCACTCTAAAGGTCTCTTAAAGGCGGGGGTAGATATCAGATCCGTTAAGACCCCCCCACCCCCCACCCCACCCATCTAAAATGGGTAAAAAAGTAAAGAAAGCTGCCGAGACTGTCTCCTCCGCTCCCGGGGGAGAAGGCTCGAGGGTCCCTGTTGTAAGCACTGCACACTCTCCTGCACTGTCTTTGGCAGACATTTCTGCATTACTTAAGTCGCAGATGGCGTCGATGATTGAGGAGGTGAAGTCTCAGCTACGGGCTGAGCCTTCCCCATTGTCGGCCCCGGACGCGGCTTCGAGACCTTGTGTTATGCCCGGCGTCGGCCGAGGCAGGCCACTTGGTCCTGGGGACGATCCGAGCTCCGGCTCGAGGTCGCTCCCCAGCGGAGGGGTGGCGGGCGCCGGCCCGTGCACTACCGACGCACAATTTTCCCTAGCGGAGCCTGACGCCTCTTCCGCGGCTGAGGCTTCCACTTGTGGATACTTAGCCCAGAGCCAGGTGGGTTCCCTTGAATCCCGGGCACCTCAGGACCGGGACTCGGCTTCGGGCCGGGGGCAGCCCGGGGATGCGAGGGCCCAGGCCTTTGGGCGTCCCCTTCCAACTTTGTCTGCTTCATCTCTAAGGGAAGAGTCTATTAACTTCAGCTCGGAATCGAGAGAGGAGGAGAGGATGGAGGAGGGGGGGGGGTTGGAGGACTCGGAGACGTCGGGGATATTTTCCTTCGTTTCCTTGTTGAGGCATGTACGGGACAGGATTGTCCAGGTACTGCCTCAGGTGGCTGCGCCCGTGCCCGAGTCGGATCCGACTGAGTTCCGCCTTCCGGGGGACGCTTTTGCTCCTAGCAAGGCGCCCCAGGTGCGGCTCCGTGTTCTATCCTCCCTGGTGCATGAAGTCATCAACCCTCTGTTGTCGGGTGCCTGCAGGAAGTTCGACCTGCCCGAACTTATAAAACGGTACTTGTTAGCAGAGGATAGTGACTTTGAGGTACCAGTGGGTACTTAGGTCAAGCAGGGCCGGCAGTTGCCCCCCTTTCCCGCGTGCGGTGTGGAGTTGAAGGCTGCTTACATATGCTTCGAGGAGCAATAGCGTAATGCATGCCAACAGCTCCGTGTGTCCGTACACTCCGCTTATCTGTCAGCTGTACACAGGGAGTTAGCGGGGGAGGGGCCGGCTGACTCCTCGGAGTTGGCTGCACAACTAACGGAAGTTCACAGTCATCTTGCGCGGGACACTATTGGTAGCTGTGCCCCGCAGATGATTTGCGCTGTTATGGGTATGCGCAGGCTGTGGATGTCGGTATCTAAATACTCGACTTCCACACGCCAAGACCTCCTTGCTTTGCCTTATAAGATGGGTGCCACCCTCTTCCCTGGGGCTCAGCAGGTGGTCCGAGTGGCCGCTCAGTTGTATGCTTCCATCAAGGACTCTAAGGCCTTGTTGGAGGTACCCAGCGCCGAGCCGCGTAAGCGGACCTCTCCCCTTGACTCTTCCCACAGGAGGGTTCAGGCCTATTCTCAATCTGAGATAGGCTGAACAAACTTATAGAGGTACCGTCCTTCAGGATGGAGACACTGCGCTCAGTGATCTCAGCTGTCGAGACAGGAGAATGGCTAAGTTCAAGAAATACCTGAGGTTTTCTATCGACGGGAGGTGTTATCAGTTCAGGGTTCTATTTGGGCTCTCCACGGCCCCGAGGGTGTTCACCAAGCTGATGTTGATTCCTGCCCAAGTGGCCAGGTCGAAAGGTCGGTTCTGCCATCCGTACCTCGACGACTGGTTACTAAGAGCACTATCGCAATCCCTGAGTCAGATAGCTACACAAGAAGTGATAGACATTCTGATCACTCTAGGGTGGATAGTCAATCTCAAGAAGTCAGATCTGAGCCCTACTCAGATTCTAGTCTTCCTAGGGGTGAATTTCAACACAGTGAGCGGATTTGTATCTCTGTCACAAGATCGCATTGCCAAGGTCAGAAGTGTTACTTCCCAGTTCCTTCTGTCCACAAGACACACTGCTCGTACATGGCTCCAGTTACTGGGCAACATGGCGGCGACAGTGGATGTGGTTTGGCGGGCGCACTTGAGAATGAGACCCATTCAACAAGCACTCCGTCGACTTTAGGCGAACTCGGAAGATCTCGAGACTGTGCTCGAGAGTCCGCAGTGGCTCATTACACACCTTCAGTAGTGGACCGAGGTCGGGAATCTGTCCCGGGGGCTCCCCCTCGACACACTGTTCCGTCTCTCACAGCTCAAACAGACGCGTCACTCTCCGGCTGGGGAGGCATTCTGAACCATCACACTGCCTCGGGACTATGGTCCCAGCAGGAGATCAAACTGCATATCAATGTGCTAGAACTGAGAGCGGTCAGGTTTGTGTTCAAAAGCTTCCTGGATCTGCTTCGTGGCCAAGTGGTTCGTCTAGAGATGGACAACCAAACGGCGATGACTTACATCCTATGGTGCGAATCTCATGATATCAGGGTGCTACCTGTTTATCTCCCGGGGGTGGACAACGTCCATGCGGACGCTCTGTCTCGCCGGATCCTCGCTCCTCACGAGTTGGGGCTCGAACCGGGGATATTCGGGATTATCTCCCAGTTATACAGGGCGTTCAAGGTGGATCTGTTTACGTCTGGGGTGAATCACCAGACACCAACGTTCTGCTCCCAAGTCCCCGACCCGAGGTCGGTGGCACCGGACGCCTTCCAGCTAGATTGGACGGACAGAGTTCTGTGGGCATTCTCCCCAGTACCTCTGATTTCCAAGGTCCTGTCTCAGCTAGCCACTCAGCCTGCGCGACTGCTTGTGCTCCTGGCACCTCT